CACACTCTTCTTCATTCATGCTTCCTACTAAGAGTTATTTTTATTGAAATTATATACAGAAATATTCAAGTGTGCAGGAGAAAAATAATTGAATTTATTCTAGACATAGGTACTGTTGAAAAGACTTTCATATGGCAAAACTAAAACTACCATTTTTGATGCTTGTATGCTGTTTGGTGAGTGGAATGGGAAAATATATGTAAGAAAAGTCAGGATCTAGAAGATTTTAAAAATTATTCGAATACCTTAAAGCATATTTCAGTGTGGACTAGGCTTTTTCCAGCTGTATTTGTGTAACATGTACCTAAATTTAGCTTTAATCTTTTACCTGCAGGTGCTGATTTTTCAGATGTAATCTGAGCCTTTCTGCTTTAATTAAAAAGAGGGGACAAAAACTGTAGAACTGGAACAGAAGTCAATATACAAAAATGCCAAAAATTATTACTATTTAACTGGTTGCAGGATGTATTTCTTTTAAGTATCTGATAGGGTGATCTACTGACAGATTATAGTGTGAAATGCACCATTAAACTACATCCTCACTATTTCTGAACAATGTTTTACTACACATCTCCAGGAGAGTTTTGGTTTTTAAGACATTTTACTGCAGGTAAAATCTTGCTATATATCCTTGCAGAAAATATATGATTAGACTAAAATGTTACTTTTTTCCAAGCCAACTAAAAGACAATTTTTCAACTACTTCCATAGCAGGGAAGAAATTCAATGCACTCAGAAGGAAAAAAAAAAAAAAAAGTTTTTTTCAGGAAAGCAAGCCACCTTTACATTATTCTCAAGAATGTCAGAGCCATAATATTCCATAACACAACATACCCAAATTCAGTAACAGTGTTGGCTGTTAAAGAAACAAGGAGTGTTAGATTCAAGTGTTGGAAAAGATCTGTACATAGCTGTACACTGGTGTACTCTAATAATACTTACTGGTAGAAAATTAATCATTTACCTGAGGTAGCTACTTATCACTAAGTATTTTAAAACTTGGTCACCATTTTTTCTTGTGTCTTTTTTTTTATGGCAACACAGTTTCTGTTCTTTATTTTCTTACCTTTTCTTTTTTTTTCCCAAACCCAAGGTACCTAGTCTTCCAAACATATCAGACAGATGACCCAGTCAGATGCTTTCTCTTTTTCCTGATGAATGCTGACATGGGATTTTTGCTTTGTTGTAGTATTTCTCTGCTGAAGATGAAGATGCTTCTGGGAGTTGCATTTTTGGTAAATACCTTCTTCAGTGGCGCATTATTAATACCATTTGTACAGTGGTCCATGTTAAATTTCACCTCATTGATTATCATAATACAGAATTACTTCAGAAGTCTAGTTCTGCCCCAGTGGAAAATACCAAAGATGCCATTCCTGAAAGCTGCTTTTGCTTCACTGACAGATGACTCTGCCAGATCAAATAGGTTGACAGGAAAAACACAAGTGAGCAGATCAGAACTGTTCATTTATCTGTCCATCATGTATAGCCAAGAGATTTTTGCTTTTCAGCTAACTTTACCACAAGTCAAATCTTGTTATGTGTGTCTTTTTTGTGATTACCCTAAACTCAAGGATCATGAGATTACTGTGCATCTTTACTGTCATTTCCTGTGCTATTCAGAAAAATAATGCGTATTTTGGTCAAGGCATCTGAACCAACTGAAACCAGGTGCTAAGTCTGCCCTATCTTTTCAATTCAGGATTTATACAGTGTTTTGGGGGTACTGTGAAGGTACAAAGGAGAAAGTAGTGAGAAGTGTGTTGATCTCAACATGCAAAAGTCATCCCTGCTGGTACCAAACTTGGTCAGAAGTGGAATGGCCACATCTTGTGACGACAGGTTTTGTTGTAAGCTGTAGCATGCTTGGTGACTATCTGATTGCCACAAATACCTCAACAAGTTCTTGGGTGAAGCTAAGTTCTTCTGCAAAACGTCAGGCACCAAGGACAACCAACAGAAGCTAGGTCCATGAAACATAGGCTGTCTCCTTGATGTGTTTATCCTGACCTCTCACTAAGTGGTGAGAATGAAAATGTTCTGTCAGTTTGTGTATGCCAGTTAAATCATCTTATGAAATAGCCTTGTGTGACTGCTGGGATTTATTTTCTGCATTTATTAAACATCATAAAATGTTCTACAACAAGAGTCTTGCTTAAATACTGTGCATAGTAAAGAACAGGTTTTCAGAAAGAGCTGGAAGATTAATATTCAATCTTAATATTAAAAAAAAAAATTGATTTGGTCAAATTTATCCTTTGAAAGAGATAAGGGAGGTTCCACATTGTTTTCAGAGATGAAGATTATTAGAGCAGTCTGTTGTTGCAATTGCCAATGCTAGGTACATGTTTAATTTCCAGCTTTCTTGAAATTGGGATGATTTACTTTTCCAGAATATAATGATGTTACTGTATCCTTTGATCAAGAAACAAACCTTTGCTGGCTGATATTTCTGATGAGCTCATATAAGAGTAATTTTCTTTTCTTATGGTCTCTTTTTCAGATACTGGTTCCTTTGTACTGCTTCTAAGGGAAGGCTTTGCTCCTCTGTAGGATCTGTAGATAATGAGAGTTGTTTCTCTTCCCTTCATATCTAGGGATTGAGTTTCTTTCAGATGCATTGTTTTGGACTAGAGTTAAGCAGGCCATAAAAGGAGTATTTTCAATTGGGGTTTCCCTTTTGTTATTGTCATATCAAGCACTGATCTTTCCTTCTACCTGTCTACTTCTGTCCATGTCCTTGCTTTCTGTTGTTTCACAATGGAACAGAGTCTATCTACTTGCAACTTTTTTTTTTTTTTTCTAGAGTGTAGAATATAGTCTCCTTCTTGGTGAACTTTAGGAATCATGTAGTTAATATGTAAATAATAAAACCAGTAATAATCCAGGATAGCTCAGTAGCTGTAGCGTTTTTCTGACTGAACATGAATAGCGACTTGGCAAAGAACTTACTTTAAAAAAAAAAAAAAAAATTAAATACAAGAGTTAAGAAGTATTTAACTTATGATCAATGGTGTTTTGTAAACGCCTTCCTAGCTCCATTATGCATTATTCCGTAAAGTGTGTTATGTCCAGTTTGAATTTTCTTGTTATCAGTTTCTCTGTGTTTGCTTTGTCTTTCATCATCTGGACTAAGAAAAGTCACACAGTGAATAAACTTTTTCTCATTATGATATTTTATTGATGTTCGAATCATTTAGCATTGTTTCTGTTAAGTTCCTCAGTAAAAATAATTTGCATGATGCTTGAACCCGCATTATATGCAAAATAATTTGCATTTGCATGAACCTGCTCCAGTCTGTCAGCATTTTGTTGAGAGAGCAGATATCAAAGCTGAATGAACTGTTCTGCAAATGGTCTGTTAAATTTGTTTGCCAGGTAAAACACTTACTGTGCTTATGCACCATCCCTCCATTAAAATAGCTTACAATTTCTGGGCCATGATATTGCACTGAAAATCGTGTTTACCTGGGTATTCACCATTCTGCTAATTCCATTTCCAGTTGGCAAGTGGGTCATTATCAATTTCTATTGTTTCTATCCAGCTGCATCCCCAGTGTACCTTGTGCTTTTTCCCAGCTCTATCCCACGTTGTTTTCCATGGCTTGCCAGCTTGATAAGACACCAAACAGGCTCTGTTTGATCTGTGTGCCTAAGGCTTCTCTGACAAAGTGGTCAGAGGTGCACACAGTCTTACAAGTGGTGAAGAACTGACTCTCAGTTGCCAATCAAGTCAAAAGATGTGCACTGTTTCTTGGTTACTGTTGGACCAAACCATTGGGTTTGAGGTTGCATATCATGCAGATCCAAAGTCCTTTTGGGGAGTCATTTTTCTAGGATACTGTCTGGCTTCCCATAATGTGACCTATATTCTTCACAGGTACATGCATGTGTGTGCACGTATTCTAAACACATGAGCTTTCCGATATTTACTTGTGTTAGATATTAACTGTTTTGGACTGTTGTGGATTAAGTTTAGCAAGAGGTCCATGGCACTCTGCATTTATGACCCATCTTTCTCATTGCATACATTTACAGTAGCCCCATGACATTTGTTGATTTTTCATAAATGTTTCTATATATTCTTCTAGTTGAAAAATAGTTGTATAGCTTTAAGCCAAGACCTAACTCTTGCAAGAAAAAAGATGCAGCTGAATGATAATTCTTTGTGCTTAATTATGCTTTCTTTTGCTAAGAAGTCATTTAAATCAATTTAATATGACTGATTTTGTCTAATGTTAGTAATGTGGAGATAATTGCTTCAGTTGTGTATGGAAGAAACATTTAGTTTCTGACGTAGAAGTGTGACATAGCTACCAATTTGAAGACAATGTTAGTTTATCAATTGCATATTAACCTAAAGATTTAAAATTCTTAAAGTAATTGTTTTTATCTCTGAGTGTAAGGATTGCCTGATAAGTTAACTCCTTCTGTCATTATGTCTTTAAGAATCCACTTCTCTCCATTACTTTGCTAGTAATTTTAAGCTGCAGCTATCTATGTCTTGCTCTGCAGTAGGACTTCAGTCATTTTGATGTAACATTATTATTATTTGGTAACATGAATTATGTTATCAATTAAATGCTCTTAGAGAATTTTATTGCATGTTAGGAATTCCAATAATACTGTCAGAAAATTGTAGTCTTTGACTTTGTGTATTTTAAACTCATAGTAGGAATGGCTTCTACATTTTAATTTGTGGTATTGGTTTATGAAAATTGAGTAATAGTGTTAACATGTTTTTTTAAAAAAAGAAGTCTAAAGCCAAGTAAGCAAGTTCAGCTTCAAATCTGAAGTATCACAGAAAAAGTTTTAATTAGGAATATGAAGGGAATGTGCCATTTTTAAAAAGGTTTTTAAAAAATTACGGGAAGTTGCATGTGATAAAGTTGATGGTGCCAGCAGGGTTCTGAATTCAGTAGCTCAACCAGTTACGTATTCCTATGTTAATAAAACTTCAGAATGAAACCTTTTTATTGTATTACTGTGTTATTAAAACAATGAACTTCTGGGTATTCCATGACAATTTTGACTGGATATATGATTGGACTTTTAATTTGGATACTATTGGACAAGGAAACTGGAAACTAATGTGGAAAAATAACAGGTATATTAGTTCATAAGTTACATTATCATGTTTTAAAGTTTCTGCTTTCACCCAGTATTTATGTTTTGTGAGTTAAATAAAGGGAAAATTCAATAAGATAAATTAACTAATACAAGTGACTTTAGTTCTGGTTTTGAAAAATGGAGAACAGGAAAAATCAGTTTACTAAATGGAAAACTATGTAATCATTAGGAAGAAAGGTTATTTGCATACTCCCATACTGGAACAAATAATACTCGATTCCATACTTGAAGAAAACTTATTTGTTGATCTAGTGACAATAGTCTAGCATATTAGTGTTTTCATGCTTGCACACAAAGCTTTGCTGAGACTAGAGGCTAGGGGTGCTCTTTGTAGGGCAACACCGCCTGAGAAATCCCCTGGGGTAGCTCGCTGACAGGTGAGATGCCCTGCAATGCAGTGTATCTCTGTGCTGGGTCCTGGGAGTATGGGGTGGTTATCACCGTTAGTTAACCAGTAGTTGGCGCTACTCTTTGTTCAGTACAGCCTGTGGAATAAGAGCAATGGTAGCTGCATTTTGCTTTTCAGGATTTTTGTTAGTACTGAAAATATCCCTGTGGAGTTAGCAGAGTACATTATTTCCCTGAGATTTGTCTCATTTTATCAAGACAATTTGTTTTAGTGCAAATCCAATAAATAACTTTTGAGGCATCACAAATTGCCACAAATAAATCAGTCTAGTCAGTCAGGCACAAGACTGCAAATAGAAGTATTGATTTTAGTGACTCAGAAGCTTTTTGGTGTTTTCCAAATGGATGGAGTTGTTGCAGGTGGTATAATACTGATGCTTGTTTTGCAGTTTTTTGTTTGAATCTTTTAAAATCCACACTCTGCAGAACTTTAATCTACTATACTTTATCAAGATTTGTAGTAACCTTGCAATCCTTTCCATCCAGTTTTGGACTCTAAGATTCTAGCTCTTCAATACGGACCAGAAATGTGATGCACCTCTTTGCAAAGCCAAACAAGCAACCAGAAAAAAATCCAACCCCCAAATCCCTCCCGCTAACTTCAGCTCTGCCTTAAAAAGCTCCAGAATCCTTTTCTGTCCTGCCAGATGTTCCTCCCATGTTTTATGAAAACAAATGAAGTCATTTTAGCACATGAAGATGTCTTCTGTTCTCAAACTTTGGATTAGGTCAGTTACTGCTTTCTGAAGTGTCCCTTGTGCATTCATGAATTTCTAAGACATTCATCAAAATTAAGAGTTTTTAGGATGCCACAAAGACAGTTTCCTGTTATACTCACAATCTAGAGCTAGGTTTCTTGCTTTTGTCTGCTATGGAAAAAGAAATTAAAATCTTAAGTCCTCTAGTACAGGATTTTCTTTGTTTTTCTTTCACATTATGTCTTGCAGATTACATGACAGTTTCTGTCTATCTACTCTGCGTCTACCTCTGTAGATATTTTAGTTCTAAGATGAATATATCAGTTCTGCAGTTGAAAATGCATATGAAATTTTGAAAAGATTCTTCTGAACTCTTTCTACTGGTTGTTTCAAAAAGCTGAATATCTTTAAATTGTTAGGCTTTTTTCCTCTTCAGGGATAAAACAAATGTACTTTCAGAATTAGACAATTGCAAGATTAATTTATAAACCTCAAATGTCACATCTGTGAAGGTGCTTCTAACTGGCACTTTTACAGATTAATTTTTATATGACAGTTGAATGAATTTTCTCCACTTAGATGTCTTTATACCAGAATAGTAATGTTATGATAAAATTATTTTCTTTCTGGGAGTCATATTCTTGGGGAATAACTTGGGGAATAATATAACTGGAAGACACTGACTTTCGCAATAAGAGTGTAATATTACAGCTCTCTAATACCTGAAGCAGTATTCATGCTACAAATCTACAATCTGGAATATTGTTTTATAATCCTTCCTAGAAGAGCTTCAAGCAGATAAATTTCTGTAGAATGACAGTCTGTGGATATTTTAGTTGTGAGCAAAAAATTTCAAGTTTAGGTGACTGGCATTCCTTTCCAAAATTTGGGAGTGGTCCAAGGTCATTCACTTGAAGTCTTGTCTGTCCCAGAATACACTGTATTATTTGAACACTCTCATATCCAAAGACCAATGGGTTGACTGATTTAAACAGCATTGCTTCAGAGCACTGGGTTAGTAAATTCTCCCATTTTGTCCTTTACTAGGAATTCTATTTTCAGTTATTCTTGTATTAACTCAGGGAAATACTTAAAACAAGCATGTGTACTGCCACAGCTTTTACGTAAGAAATGTGGATGTTTAGGATTATGATTTACAGACTAGGATGCATATGACAAGAGACAGTGGATAGAAGAAAGTGTATGTTTTCTATATTTGGGTTGGTTTTATTTTTCTCCCACATGTGGAGCATAAGTCTTTCAAATATTTAGAGGAGTATGCCTTTTGATAAGATAGGATTTCTTATTTAACATTTGAACATTTTGCTAGAGACAATGTTTTATAAAGACAGTAATAATACATACGATCTACTCAAGGGGTAAGTAAGATAGCAACGTTTTCTGAGCACTCAAGTTTTACTTGGTCAAGTGCTTTTCCTGTGGTTTTCTACATATTCATGTCTATTTATGAATAGTTATCTTTGAAAGCATGAAAGAATGAAGAAAGAATAAAGATAATCTAGGAGTTAAGGAACCTATTAGAATTTCCTATTTCCTAAAATCTTAATAATTAGAGAATTTTGAAATATTAGTCCCTAAATGCAATAAGCTAAATAACAATCCTCTGAAAAGTGTAATTGTTAATTTGGCATGCTTGTTCTACATGTTAGGTAGATGAAATATTTGTATTTTCTCTGAGTTTGAAGGAAGCCTAGTATTTGCAATATTCTGTGTAATTCCTATTTCCAGAGATCTATTAAGAGGTTACTTGAGGCCACCACTGTGGTGCTGTCAAAAGACACACCCCTCATAGCCATCAGACCATGCTAGCCCAGGGTGAGCTGGCTAGAAACATCATGTTTGGCTCACATCCTTTGTTCCAGCTGCTGAATTGTGTTAAAAGACATCTAAAAATACTCTGAGACTTATTTAGTCAGTAAGGTCTTTATTAATTAAAACCCAAAGACATTAAAACCCATTAAATACTTAGTATCTGTCTTCTCTGTAATAATGTAAACAACAGCTGTAATTAAGACTGTTGCAGTTGCAATAGGAGAAGCAGTATCTGTGAGTGGGATGGCAAATGGACCATGGTACACTGTTTCTGCTAACATATGGGCTGCTATTATAAAGCAGTTTAAGAAATCTAGTGGTAAGCAGTACATAAGGAGCTGCAGTGGCTTAATGAAGGCAAGAAAAGAAGAATAATAGGCGTGGAGAAAAAGTTAGGATCTGTTATTTGGATTGGCCCTTTAGTGTTTCTGTTCAACATACAAACTAAAATGCCTTATGAAATGAGGATCAGCATGAGACTGACTTTCTGGTAATGGGAAGCTTAACCAAGGTATAACTATTTGCTTTCTTTTAAGATTTGTGAAATTCTTGAACTTTTACATAGCTACCATTTTACACCACAAGATTGTCTGTAATAAAATCTTTGGGATTCATAGGTGCGTTTCGTTACTGGATTGCTTTTTCCTTAATTTTCTTTTGGTACATTACTCTGGTAATTGGTTGCAAACAAGTAGCAAACTCTTCAGTGCTCATGTAAAACACTGCTATAAATATGCATAATTAAACCTAATCAATTTTTTGTCAGCTTGGGTGTGGCAATAGTGGTTGCAGCCTCACAAGTTTGGGGATAAAGGCACTCTTGCAAAAAACTGTAGGCACAGGAGACAGTTGAAGCTGTGTGGTTTTTTTTATCGCCCTCTCCCCGACCTCCTTCTGCTTCAGTTCTGTTGATGATACTTGAATTACCAACAGTGCCAAAACCTAGGAAGTGAGTAAGTTTGGACTGCATGCAGCATGTATAATTCTCTTCAGAACAGGGCGGAGATTCTGCTGGCTTGCAGCAGGGTACTCGCAAAAGGCTAATACTCTTCACTGTTTAAAAACAAGGATTTTAAAAAAAAAAAACCAAAAACTTTCATCAGCTATGCAGCAGTTTTTCTATAGCAGAATAGTGTTTTTCAAGAGGGAACAAATGCAAAACTGTGATGAGGTTTCATTGTATCTATCAAGAGGCAAAATATTAGAATGATTGTATAAATTCTATCTCAAGTACTATCATGGTTAAAATTGCTCAGAATATTAAGTTATGTAAGATTCAGATGTATGGAGCATTAAATTCTAATAGCTTGATATTAGGCATTATATAACATCAGTGATTTTTCACTGTACATGTACTGTCACCTCACTAACTCTGAGGATATTTTTTCAGTTTCTGTTTTACTTGCTGTGTCCAAAAAATAACCAGCAGCTGTGCAGAGTCTCCATGGGAAAAAAAAAAAAAAAAAAAACAACAACAACAAAACAACCCCTTAAAATTACAAATGCTGAAAAAAAAAAAAATCAGTATCCAGTAACAAGTAAACAAAATAGTTGTGATGAATGGGACTCATCGTTTCTATTTTAAACCATGACGTGAATTGGATGATATAGAGTAAAACAATCATCCTTCAACTTTTTAGCTGTATTGACTAGAACTTGTACTCCAGTAACAAATAAATAACGTAGAAGACATTTATTGAATATGTCGATGAGAATATAGAATTATTTTTATCCAATACCCAGAACTTGTTGTATTAAGCATAGGACAACTGCCAAAACAAGCAGCATTAAGAGCTGTTTAGTCCCTTTCCTTGTCTCTTCTGCAGAGCCAGGTCGCAGAACGATGTGCTAAAACCAAGATGGAGTGACTTAAGTGATGTTCATGACAAAAATGCCTGAAATAAGAAGCTGCAGCTGATAACAGAAATAACTTATGAAGCCTAAATAAAGGTTTATTTATATACATTTTAATGTTTCTTCATGTTTAAATATAAGATGGTGTAAAGGGAGCAACATTTATTTCATGTGGTATGATGCG